GAATGTAATATTGTTGACAGATTATATGTCATGTTGTTGACAGTTTATGTAATGTTGTTGACAGTTTATTTTATGTCATATTGTTGACAGTTTACGTGTCATATTGTTGACAGTTTATATTTGTTATTGTCGACAGTTTATATGTCATATTGTCGACAATTTAAGTCATATTGTTGACAGTTTGTATGTCATATTTTCGACAGTTATATGTCATGTTGTTGACAACACCAGGTAGCTCATCTTACGTCTGTTTGTATGCAATCTTGTTGGCATCACCAAGTAGCCATATTTATATCCGTTTATGTGTAGTGTTGTTGACTGCATCAGGTACTGGGTTTATTGCTGGTTTTGTATCTATTTAAATGTAGTGTTGATGACTGTATCAAGTAACTGTATTTATGCCCGGCTTGTAAGCGTAGTTGGCTAAACCTGACTTTGCGACGACCGGGTGACGAACTCCTTGTGGTCCGGGTTCACGCCCGGGTGGTAGGCAGAAAAGCCACATTTCTCCAAGTCTTACGGTATTTATCATGGAATCAAGGCGGAAGGGTTGCCATATCCATAATACCGAGCCAAAGGGTTAAGAACTCAAGGTTTCTGGATATTTAAAAAAAATGTATTTATATATATTTATATGTAGTTTTGTTAACAGTATTAAATAGCTGTATTTATATGTATGGGTATTGTGTATAAATGGGTGTGTGCATGAATGGGTGCTTGTGTATGATTATATATGTTTGTATGGGTATGTCTGATATGTGTATGCATGAGCATAAGTATGTTGAGTGTGTTTGTTTGTGCATGCTTGGATAGGTAAGAATGTGTGTACGTATGGTTGCACATATGTCTGTATAATTATGTTTGTGCACGCGTGTGTGTGTTTTTGTATGTATGTATGTATGTATGTATATATATATATATATATATATATATATATATATATATATATATATATATATATATATATATATATATATATATATATATATATATATATTATATATATATATATATATATATATATATATCTGAGTATGTGTATGAATGTGTATGAGCATATAAGAGTATGTATATGTGTGTATTTTTCATTGTGTATTATTGAGTATGTATGATGTGTGTATGCATTATTTCATTGTGCATATTCTTATTTAAATATTAAATATTATTAATAACATGCAATTGTGGTTTGAAAGATTAGTACTTGGAAGGGCTAAATCTAAGACTAGCGTGTGTGCTCAATTTGTGACCCCTTGAAAATAAAGTTTGTTTGTTTGTTCGTTCCATTTATATGTAGGGTTGTTAACTGCATCAAGTAGCTGTATATATATATATTTATGTGTAGTGTTGACAGCATCAAGTAGCTGTATTTATATGTAGTGTTGTTGACTGCATCAAGTAGCTGTATTTATATATATTTTTGTGTAGAGTTGTTGACAGCATCAAGTAGCTTTATTTATATGTAGTGTTGTTGACTGCATCAAGTAGCTGTATTTATATATATTTATGTGTAGTGTTGTTGACAGCATCAAGTAGCTGTATTTATATGTAGTGTTGTTGACTGCATCAAGTAGCTGTATTTATATATATTTATGTGTAGTGATGTTGACAGCATCAAGTAGCTGTATTTATATATATTTATGTGTAGTGTTGTTGACAGCATCAAGTAGCTGTATTTATATATATATATTTATGTGTAGTGTTGTTGACTGCATCAAGTAGCTGTATTTATATATATATATTTATGTGTAGTGTTGTTGACTGCATCAAGTAGCTGTATTTATAATATATATTTATGTGTAGTGATGTTGACAGCATCAAGTAGCTGTATTTTTATATATTTATGTGTAGTGATGTTGACAGCATCAAGTAGCTGTATTTATAAATATTTATGTGTAGTGTTGTTGACAGCATCAAGTAGCTGTATTTATATATATATTTATGTGTAGTGTTGTTGACAGCATCAAGTAGCTGTATTTATATATATATATATATTTATGTGTAGTGTTGTTGACAGCATCAAGTAGCTGTATTTATATCTTTATCTAACTGCCCTTATACATTGAACAGATCACTGTTACACAGAAAACACTTCCATTCACTAACCTTCTTGTTGGACAGGTGAGTCCTGTCTAGTTTGGCATTAATAAAATTTTCTTCTGGTCATGTCAGTGCTTTTACAACTTTTCACAAGTAATTCCAGCTGGTTACTTATATATCCGTGGACTTTGTCATCAACAGTATTTAGGCAAAAGACCCTGGATCCAGAAATGTAGGACATGCAAGCACCGGTATTTAGAGTGTAGGACATTCAAACACCTAGATCTAGAATGTGGAACATTCAAACACCTAGATCTAGAGTGTGGGACATTCAAACACCTAGATCTAGAATGTGGGATATCAAACACCTGAATCTGGAATGTAGGACATTGAACACCTGGATCTGGAATGTAGGGCATTCAAATACCTAGATCTGGAAAGTAGGACACTCACACCCACATCTGCTTGTGAGAAGTAACTGATAGACAGGAGTAAACTTGGGCAACAAAAATCTAAATGGCTAACTGCAGAACCAAGCACTAAAAGATGTATTGTTAGCTAACTTGATATTTGTGGTGTTGCAGGTTCCAACTACAGTGAAAAGTGTGATGTCTTCAGTTGGGGAATCATCTTGTGGGAGGTGCTGACCAGAAGGAAACCCTTTGATGAGATTGGGGGGCCAGCTTTCAGGATTATGTGGGCAGTCCACAGTGGTAAGTTGTAGTCCTTTTGTGGTTTCATTTGGAGGTGATTGTTGAGTTGAAAGTTATTGTTGAGTTGGAGGTGGTTGGTGAACTGTGTTGAGTTGAAAGTTATTGTTGAGTTGGAGGTGGTTATTGAGCTGGATGTTACATGCCTCTAGTTCATTGGTTACATATGTCCCCTAGTTCATTGGTTACTTGTATCTCCTCATTCATATCGTGAATCAGGAGTGAGGATAGATGCTTTTTGTGATGAGTAGGAATTTTCATCTCAACACTTCACCTCCACCAGAGCAACTGAACTAATATCTGAGCTATGTTGATCTCAAAGTCCTAGATATCCAAGAAAACAGCCATATTGTCTCATTATGTAAATTAACAGTAGCTGCCCTTGGTAGCCACAGGAGAAGCAAAGGGGTTTTAGATGTCTATATTATTATAATTATGGAATTATTAGACAGGGCAGGTGACCCATCCCAACTGGTAATCTGGTAATCCTAGTTTCAGCTTCATAGCAAACGGGTCACCCCACATATGCTCCGCTCCCGTGCCAACGAAAAACAATTGCAGCTCACAGTGTCACGCCATGTACTCAACTCAGAAGCTGGGCGACGAAACTACATCCTTCCAGTCTACAAATGGAGCAAAAATGCAACGGCCACCGTCTGGCAAAAAAAAAAAAGAATATTTGCCACTGCTTTTTAAAAAAAAAAAAAAAAGGTGGCCGTACCTAGCGTCCATTTTGACCGGAAGAATTATATGAGGGTTAATAAACGGTCACCCCAACAGTACCCTCCTTATTAGCTGGGGAAGGGACTTAGGACATTACATCCACCAGCAGGCGTCGCCCCTACAACGACCTGCCTGCCATCGTTAACGACTGTTCACCCAACAGCCATGCAGTTCTTTGGCACGAAGGAGACACCTTGAACTTGGGTTTCGTACTGCCGACTCCCAACTAAGATGTTATTTTATGTTCTGTTATCACAAATAATGTCTCTGCACATTGGGCATACCCATGCGTGCTCAGTTCTCCGAAGCAGCAGCCACTCTAAAGTACTTCTACTAATTGTCCCCATGAGAAGCTGGTTATATTGTCTCCTTTCTCGGCCTCGAAGACGGCAAAGACGTGCATCACCATGCTTAACTCCCATGTCACGCAATCGTGTTAGTGTCAGGGATTCCTCATTCTCCACTAGCCCAGTTCGTACAGCGTTGACTATGTATGCTCTGTCCATACTTTTTCCAAACATTATAATTTCATTACGTTTAATTATACAAGTCTTATTTTATACACATAAAAACACACTGAAAAACATGTGATACAAACATACAAGAAATAGGAATGGTTTAGCAGTTCCCTAACTGAATACTTGGTTCACAAAGGCTTTATCCAGTGTTTAGTTAAGTTGTCCCAGAGCAAAGCTGTGGCTTGATCACAGGTACAGGATTAGAATTTTACAGAATATTTTCCTGGTATGACTTAAAAGGGAGATGCCTCTGTACTGTGCGAAATATCTTTTACTACCTTTGTTTTTCCAATATTATAATGATTGTGGCATTTTCCCAGCCTCTTGGTGTCTTTTGTTTCACTCACACATGGTTGAAAAACCTGTGCAGCCATGCTATTCCCACTTCTTTTGCTGCTTAAATGAGATCATTTGGAATTTCATCTGGTCCTGATGCTTTATTGATTGGGGTAACTATGATAGCTTCCCTGATCTTTTTTTGCAGTAGGTAAGGTTCTAGTTTCTTGGTGGTGTCCACTGTAATGTCTTGAGTTCTGTGGCATCAGATGGCATATTGACAAGTTGTTTGGATTACTGCCTGCATCTTTCTAGAATTTGTTTCTGTTCACTTATTGGTTCTCTTTTGTCACTGTTAATTATTTCACCTGGGTCTAGTAATCTAATCTGGTTCTCATTAATTTAATCTTTTTGTAGACGTGTCTAGTCTTTTCCTTTAAGTTTTAAGTGAGCATTTCATATTTCTTCTAGTAATTTTGTTTAGCTTTCTTTATTGTTCTGATTGCATTTTTTCTTGCTATTCTATATTCAATATAATTGTTGTCCTGTTTACTGTTCACCCATTTCTTATATCTGTTTTTTTTTTGTCTTTGACGGCCCTTTAACTTCATCGTTCCACATACTTATTAGTTTTTTTTCCAGTTCTGCCATTTCTCTTAGTTCTGCCTTTACTCTTAGTTCTTTCTGCATGTTATTTTTTGCAGCATTTAGAATACTAGATTTAAATATCTCTCATTGTACTTCTACTGTCTTCCTCTCTAAGGGTTATTTTGTGAACTCTTTTTAAAATCTTTCTCATAGTTTTCTCTCATTGTATCATCTTTAAGATTCTTTAGGTTGACTGATTTATTGGTCAGGTTTTTTGTGCGGTATGTTCCTTTTTTCTGCTGCTTCTTGTGACTGTTATAACTGCTTTATTGTCAGTGTTTATACTTAGACTGAGTATTGCTTTTGAGTCTAAAATATTTCTTTTTTTTTCTTACTGTAGTGTGGTAATTAGCTTTGTAATTGCAAAGGTGCTGTGTACAGTCTACCGAAGATACTAGAACATAATTCTTTTTATTTTCGGTACAAGACCTCACACACAGACAGTATACCAAGGGAATCGCAACCAGTGAAATATCACAAAGATTTTTTATCTCTCAGCCTTGCTAGTTAAGGCAGAGGATTTGGGGTTTGCCCACATCTGATTCCCTACTGTTATATAAAAGGTATATTTATATATATTTGAATATACTAACTCGTGCTCACTGATATACACTGTTAAAATTAACTCCATAAAACTGGAATAACATCAAAACAAATTGTGTTTTTAACTTGGAGTAAATCTAATCCTCAAGCTGGGGAAAAATACTGATTGATGGATTACAGATTGACGTAGTGGACTGATATCCATTCATCTGTTCATTCCCTGTAGATGCAGTTGGGATAGTTCTCACTGAAGACCACACTGCTTTCAGTCTTCATGTATTGTTACACTACACAGACATGGGGGGGGGGGGGGGGGGGGGGGGAGAATAGTAATATGTTTACATATTCTTGATTGGGGTATAGAATGGTGTTTACTGAACAGAATCTATGTTCCTGATAGGGAAAATATTCCATCCACATCTTTCTCAGGGATATTATTTCCAAGCACATGGGTTCAGCATCACTGAAAGAGAAAAACATTCAACTGTGTCAATGGTTCTGCTCTCTTTACATTAATACTCTTTTCAGGGGTCACCATGCTTAACACAGTCACATTTCAAAAGCAATTCTCATCTTAACCCTTTTAGCACGGGAAGCCAAAAACACGGAGCATTTTTTCAGTAAATTTGGTTACAACTTTATTTTATTTTTTTTACACTTTTCTGTTATTCTGACCCCCATGAAATAATATATTTATTTGAAGGATATAGATTGAAGTTCATGATTTTCACAATATCGTTAAAAGTAATTAATGTATATGCAAATTATCTCATTTGCATATCTAAAAAAAAAAGAAAATAAGAATGAATTTTCAACTTCAATGCATGAAACTAACTAAAAACAAAAATATATTTGTTTTGAAATCTTTTTATTGATCTTTGGCCTTTTTACAAATGTTGTAAGCAATTCAATAGTAAAAAAAAGGTATATATATATATATGAAACAGCAATAATATCTTTAGGTGACATGTGTTTTTCACCATCAGTCAGCACAAGAAATGGATGTGCCGGAGTGTATATCTTCGGGTGGATATACCCTTAGCTATGGTTGGGCTGTGGTCTGAACACAACAGCGTCCCCATCTGATCCCCACTATTACTACTAACACTAGATCCTGCATCAGTATCAATAGAATTAGTGTCATCACTTGATTTAAAAGTTTTATCAACATCAAGTTTAGGGGCAGACATACTTTTAGCGGTTCAGGTCACTATCTAAAAAAATTCAACAACAGTTTTCACTTCGATACCAAACACTAGAAAGTCGCCATGTGTAAAGCTAATACAGCAGTGAATATAAAAGAATCACTTTTAGTGTTTCAAAATAGGAGATTTCTTAGCGTGTCGAGGCGAAACATGATCGGCCGTTCCGTGTTTTTGGCCAGACATCCGACAGCCGATAATCGGCCCGTCCGTGCTAAGAGGGTTAACCACATGGGTTCACATCACACACAAAAATGGGAATCAGGGAGTGAATTTACTTGGATGTGAAACTCATAACATGTATGTTAGGCGGTTTGAAAATGAATGGGAATAAAAAGGATCTCAATCAGTATAACTGGGTATTGGGATAGATGTCATAACAATCATAGATGACAATGGGGTTCCCATCTGTCACATTGTTAACAAAATATTCAGAACTTACTTCAGTTTAACTTTGAATGAATGCATGAGCTAAATCTTATTCAGTATAGTTGAAGAAGCTGGGAAGGGTAAATTATAATTATTAAAATTATCAGGCCACACACAAAGGAAATGAAAATGTTTTCCTTTTATTTAAGAAGTACATAAACCAATAATTAGTACAAGCGTAGGCCATACACCTCTCTTTTTTCTTCTCCTTCAGTGTGAATCTAAAAAATTTAGCCACCGGGTGGCATTCCCTTTTCATGCTCTTAAATTAGTTTCAGTAATCTCTGGACTAAATTTAAATTAAAGCAAGACAGTAATTTATAAAACAAAAATCACCATTAAGTTACATAAACCTGATAAGGATTTGGTATAGTAAATATACACCTGTTTCCTCTATTAATACCATGATGGAAATCAGGACGCCCAAGATTTTACACAGGGACATCAATTGTCAGTTATTAGATATAAATATAACAATCCAATATACTAATTCACGTTTCTAGGAGCAAATAAACATTATATTAATCATCAAATAGATCATATACCATACATGTACATACTAGAGCATAAAAATGGTTAGTATGGACAAAGAAATTTATCAAGGTTTTTCTCTACATTTGGGCAACACATTCATAGCCAGCAGATAAAATGAATTCAGATTAATTCACAGCAATAGATCAAATTAGAATAATAATTATTATTATTCATTGACCCCTGGTAGGGATTTCAAACACACAATGTACCTTTAATTGTGACAATCTACTGGGAATACGTCTGGCTCACCATGTGGCTGATTTGAAAAGGAAGTGGGGACTGCTAATAAAGGGGGAGTAACTCTGAGTTATTCCTCCAGATTCTCATTCACCTTTTTCCACTTTCTAATTATAAAATTTATAATATTGTCTTTAAGAAGCAATAATTACAAGGTAAGAAACAGTATTCCAGACTAGCTCGTCACACTTGCTATATGAAATAAGTTAGGATCATTCTGTATATATCATGTGTATGCTTGTGAACACTTGATTTTGAAGAATTTTTTTTCTACGAAGAGGTGGGTAAAAAATAAAAAATAAAATTCTATCAGTTTTCTTCCATTTTTGTTTTGTTACGCAACAGTGGTCACCAAATGCTGGGAGATGTTTCTCTATATCTGTTCTAATGTGCCCTGGTCTTGCATTGAAATCTTCTATAACTATAATGTTATCTTGACTTTCCACTTTATTTCATGTTTCATGTCTTTAAAGAACTCTTTACTCTCCTCTCCTCTATTGTTTGTGTTGCACAGTGCATTTATCTGTACATATGTTGTAATGTCTTGTTCCTGTCACTGTAATGATTCTCTCTGAGATGTAAGATATTTCTCAATATACAATATTATAGGTCGGAGGCCACCACCTATCCAGAATTTACCCAAGCCACTGGAAACCCTTATGGCCAGGTTTGTGCATTTGATGAATGTGAGAGTTACATAATGATACGATGAAAGTAAAAGTTACAGAATGTGGGAGTTACAAAATGACAAGATGAATGTGAGGGATACAAAATGACATGATGAATGTGAGAGTTACATAATGACATGATGTATGTGAGAGTTACATAATGACATGATAAATGTGAGAGTTACATAGTGACATGATGAATGTGAGAGTTACATAATGACATGATGAATGTGAGAGTTACATAGTGACATGATGTATGTGAGAGTTACATAATGACATGATGAATGTGAGAGTTACATAATGACATGATAAATGTGAGAGTTACATAATGACATGATAAATGTGAGAGTTACATAGTGACATGATGAATGTGAGAGTTACATAATGACATGATGAATGTGAGAGTTACATAGTGACATGATGTATGTGAGAGTTACATAGTGACATGATGAATGTGAGAGTTACATAATGACATGATAAATGTGAGAGTTACATAGTGACATGATGAATGTGAGAGTTACATAATGACATGATAAATGTGAGAGTTACATAATGACATCATAAATGAGAGAGTTACATAGTGACATGATGAATGTGAGAGTTACATAATGACATGATGAATGTGAGAGTTACATAATGACATGATAAATGTGAGAGTTACATAATGACATGATAAATGTGAGAGTTACATAGTGACATGATGAATGTGAGAGTTACATAATGACATGATGAATGTGAGAGTTACATAGTGACATGATGTATGTGAGAGTTACATAATGACATGATAAATTTGAGAGTTACATAATGACATGATGAATGTGAGAGTTACATAGTGACATGATGAATGTGAGAGTTACATAATGACATGATAAATGTGAGAGTTACATAGTACATAGTGACGTGATGAATGTGAAAGTTACATAGTGACGTGATGAATGTGAGAGTTGCATAATGACATGATAAATGTGAGAGTTACATAATGACATGATGAATGTGAGAGTTACATAATGACATGATAAATGTGAGAGTTACATAATGACATGATAAATGTGAGAGTTACATAATGACATGATGAATGTGAGAGTTAAATAATGACATGAGGAATGTGAGAGTTACATAGTGACATGATGTATGTGAGAGTTACATAATGACATGAGGAATGTGAGAATTACGTATCAATCAGTCAGGTGCCATCTCCAAAGTGAAGGTTGGCTGCAAAATATCTCCAGCATGCTCTGTCTCTTATCCTGATTATACGCTGTCTCAGTTTGCTGTTCATCAAGCTCTTGATGTTGTCCTTACACTTGTATCATTGCTTACCTCTTGCTGTTTTGCCTTTGACTTCTCCCTCAAGTATGGGTTTTTTTTAATGTGTGTCGTGGTTTTCATGTGGCTAAATTATTTTGATTGTCCTTTTTTTTTTATTTCTTTCACTAATTCTCTTTTCATTCATAGCCTTTTCAGGACTTGTGTATTGGATTGTTTTTGTTTCCATGAAATATGACCTATTCTTCTGTCTGTCCACATTCGTAGAGACATTTTAATTTTCTAGTTGCTTGTTCATTATCTAAGTTTCTGCACTTTATAGCAGAATTGAGTATACATAACATTTGACTATTCTCATTTTTTTTATTATGTTGTTTATCTCTTTGGCTATTATTAATTTGTGCATCTCATTGATAGTTTAAGCCATTCCTGTTCTCTTTTTTATTTTTGTTTCACTTCATCTGTTACTACATGTCCTAGATGGAGAAACATTTTACTTATTCTAATATCTCTCTGTTTACTGTGATGTTCACTGTTGGTCACTCTTTTCCATTGTTGATTATCGTAGTTTTTGTTTTTCGAATGTTAATGTCTAAACCATGCTCTACCCTCCGTCTTTTGACTTCATCCAGTAGGTCTTGTAACTCCAGCTCACTTTCTGCTAGTAACACTGTGTCATCCATGTATCTCAGATTGTTTATTGTTTTTCTATTAATATTCATTCCAGGCAATTCCTAAACTTATTTTAAAATGTTTTCTATATTTAAGTTCAAAAGGCTTGGGGATAACACAGATCCCTGATGTACTCCACTTTTCTTTATCTCTATCTGTGGTAAGGCGATGTTGTTGTGTCTAACTTGCTATTTGTTCCCAGTATTGGTTACTAAGCATAAAGTCAGGTGCCTTGCCGACTGGCGTGGGTGATCATGCCTCTCCACAATCTGCAATCTCCTGCAGCATGTATTTGTTCGTGTGCCGACACACCTCCATGCCATGCAACAAGACTGTCAAGAATCTTCTCTCGTTGTCTTTCTCTATCCCTCCTTCCACAGATCTTTCCATTGGTTACAACATGTCCTGTTTTCTCTCTTCTCATAACGTGGCCGAAAAATGATGACTGTCTCCTTCTGATGTCTGTGATAAGTTATCTTCTGGCTCCCGCCTCTTTCAAAACCTCTTAGTTGCTCTTTTTGGCTGTCCAAGGTATTCTAAACATTCTTTTGTTAAACCACATCTCTGAGGCCTCAAGAAATTGTTTGGTCTGCCTACCGATTGTCCAGGATTTACAGCCATATGTTAAAACTGGATGTATGTAGCAAGCTAGAATTTTTTTTCTAACTCTCAATGACAAGGATATATTGCACAAGATGTTCTTTATTTTATAAAATGCAGTTTTTGTCTGTCCTATTCTGTTTCCTATCTCAGTTATGCATCTTCTATCTCATGTTATCCATGTGCCCAGATACTTAAATTTCTGTACTTGTCCCAAAATAACACCATCGACTTTTATTACACATTTAGGAATAATTTGTTTCTTTGATACCACCATTACTTCTGTCTTTCCATTATTTTAACTCAGGCCCATTCTTCCACTTTCTAACACCACAATGTCTATCATTTCCTTTAGTTCTGTCTGACTTGTTGCTACCAAGACTGTCATCAGCAAAACGTAAATTGTTCATATTGTGCCCACCAACCACAATCCTGGGCATATCAATTGAAGATCTCATTATATATTCACTGTATATTGAAAACAAATCAGGTGACAGTACACATCCTTGTCGTAAGCTCCTCTTTATGCTTTGAAATGTACCTAAACAGTTGTTAATTCTTATAGCTGCTGTTTGCTGCCAATACATATTCTTTATTATTCGTAGATCTTTTCCATCAATGTTTAATTTTTCTAACAGTTTGATTACTTCTTTATGCTTCACACAGTCAAATGCTTTTGTATAGTCTATGAAGCATAAGTACAAATCAGTCTATAGCTCTTTCTGACAATGTCCTTGGGATGTATATGGCATTGTTTGTACCTTTTCCTTCTACAAATCCACATTGTTCATCACTGATTTCTGGTTTAGTTTTGTTTCTTGTTCTTCTAATAATTATTCTCAGTAAAATCTTAGTCATGTGACTCATAAGACTTATTGTGCGATGGTTTTCACATTTTCAAGTGCCTGGTTTCTTAGGCAGAGCTTTAAATATGGATTTTAAAAGGTCATTTGAAATATACCCACCATTATAAATATCATTTAAAAGTTCGGTTATTATTTCAATTCCAAAATCTCCCAGTGCTTTGATTTCTTCCAGTGAGATGTTGTCTGGCCCAGGTGCTTTTCCTTTCTTCATTTGATGTAATTAATGCATTCTCAACTTTTGCAATCATTATTGGTGGACCATCATTGTTGGTCTGCAGTTCTACATCTGGTCTATTATCATCATACAATTACCCTATATATTATGTCCATCTGTTAATTATATTACTATGTCCCATTAATAAGTCACCATCTTTTGATTTTAAACATCCAGTGCTGTTACATGTCATCTTTCCTGTTAACATATTTATCTTTTGGTACATGGAATGTGAGTCTTTCCTGTGATTTTCCCCAATCTGTACACATTTGATTCAGCCAGGCTTCTTTAGCCACTTTGCATTAGTTCACTATTTCTTTTTGTATTCTAGAGTATTCTTCTTTATCATTCTTTTTTCTTCCTTCTTTTATCTATCAACTGCAGAATTTCAGTTGACATCCATTTCTTTTTTGCAACTCTATGGGTTGGTGGGATTGTCTCTTTTGATGTCTGCTGAATTGACTCACGCAACATATTCCACTGTTCATTAATAGTCTGTATAATTTCCATTGCATTATACCGGTTTTGTACAGTGACATTGTACTGTTCCTTAATTTCTTTATCCCTTCTAAGAATTCCTAAATTTAACTTGATGTTCTGTGGTGTTTTTCTAATGTTCTTTAGTTTTATTCTAATTTTTCCTACAACTGGAACATGGTCACTAAAGCAGTCTGCTCCAGGTCTAGTTTTTGCTCCAACTAAGCTGCTCCAGTATCTTATTGAAATCAAAATATAATCAATCTGATTGCGTACATTATCGCCAGGACTTTTCCAAGTCCACAATCTTCGTGGATGGTGTTTAAACCAGGTGTTACCTATTATCATGCTGTGCGACTCAGCCCATGCTATTAATCTGTCACCTCTCACATTCTTTTCATAGCCACCCGTTATTCCGTACACTTTTTCACTTTTTATTTTCGCGTTGGAATCCCTAAGTACCATTGTTACTTCACAATTTTTGCATTGATCAACAGCCATGTCTAACGCGTCATAAAATGCATCAATATCTTTTTCTGAACTATCTGCTGTTGGGGCATAAATCTGTACTAAGTTGATGTCAAACAGTCTGCCGTGAAGAATATCTATCTGATATTGTCCATAATCCTTTCACAGTTTATGATTTCTTTAGAGAGTTGCATATTGACACAAAGTGTGGGAGAGTTACATACTGACATTATGTGTGGAGAGTTACATACTGACATGATTTGTGAAAGAGTTATATACTGACATATGTGCGAGAGTTACATACTGACATGATATGAGGGAGAATTACATACTGGTATGATGACTGTGAGAGTTACATACTGAGATGATATGTGGGGAAGTCATATACTTACATGATGACTGTGAGAATTAACATACTGACATGATATGTGGGAGAGTTACATACTGACGGGATATGGGCAAGAGTTACATACTGACATGATATGTGCAAGAGTTACATACTGGCATGATATGTGGGAGAGTTACATACTGTTTGATATGTGAGCGAGTTGCAAGAGTTACATACTGACATGATATGTGCAAGAGTTACATACTGACATGATATGTGCAAGAGTTACATACTGCAATGTGCTCTGCTAGGGGTATGTTTTTGTACGCGACATTGCTATATGACGAACATTTAGTTGCTACAACACAGCAGAGACGAATGTTCAGTTGTATACTTTTATTCGCTGAATCACAACATATCACAGGTCGTTCTGCTTGGCTGATTTCTGACGGCCTGGTCAATCCTCTCACACACTGCTTTGATCTATCTGCATCTCTCGAATCACACATCCATCCTCTAGTAAAGCCTTGTACCTGATTTAAGAACGTGAAGGAAACATATCTTCTCTCGAAACATTACAAGTATTCACAATTCCTCCATTCTCCTCAGGCGTTCACTCATACGACCTCTCGCAAGAAGGTCCGAATTTCAACTGTCTTACTACCGTCTCTCGGTTCACGTCTTCCGTCCAAGTCTCACGCTTTTCTTGTATCCCTTATTTCGCTCAACATGGAATACTCGAGACCTACTTATCTTGTTTTTCTCTTGTATCACTGGTCCTCTGACCTTATCCTCCCCATCCAGAACTCTCTGGGATTTCCCCGGGAATTCACATCATTACATATACTGACATGATATGTGCACGAGTTACATACTGAGATAATTTGTGGGAGAGTTACATACTGACATGATATGTGGGTGAGTCATATACTAAGATTATATGTGGGAGAGTTACATACTGAGATGATATGTGGGAGAGTTACATACTGAGATGATATGTGGGAGAGTTACATACTGACATGATATGTGCAAGAGTTACATAGTGACATGATATGTGCAAGAGTTACATACTAAGATGATACTTGCAAGAGTTACATTCTGACATGATGTGTGGGAGAGTTACATACTGACATGATATGTGCACGAGTTACATACTGAGATAATTTGTGGGAGAGTTACATACTGACATGATATGTGGGTGAGTCATATACTAAGATTATATGTGGGAGAGTTACATACTGAGATTATATGTGGGAGAGTTACATACTGAGATGATATGTGGGAGAGTTACATACTGAGATGATATGTGCAAGAGTTACATAGTGACATGATATGTGCAAGAGTTACATACTTAGATGATACTTGCAAGAGTTACATTCTGACATGATGTGTAGGAGAGTTAAATACTGATGAGATATGTGGGAGAGTTACATACTGACATATGTGGGACAGTTACATACTGACATAATATGTGGGAGAGTTACATACTGACATGATATGTGCGAGAGTTACATACTGACATATGTGGGAGAGTTACATACTGACATGATATGTGCGAGAGTTACATTCTTAGATGATATGTGCGAGAGTTACATACTGAGATGATATGTGCAAGAGTTACATACTTAGATGATATGTGGGAGAGTTACATACTGACATGATATGTGGGAAAGTCAAATACTTACATGATGACTGTGAGAGTTACATACTGACATCAGAGAAACAGCGAGAGGTTCAAGAAAACAAACAACATACAAGACAAAAAGATATAATTCCTGAGGCACTGGTGGCAGCATTTACATCCAGCGAGTTAGAATTAGCAATATCAAAGCTGAAAATGGGAAAATCACCTGGAACTGATGGAATCACCAACGAAATGATCAAGAACCTTGGAACAACTGCCAAAAAAAAGCTGCTACAGATCTTTAATCATTGTTGGACAAGTGGCAAAGTTCCTCAAATATGGAGAAAAGCAATCACAATACCTCTGCTTAAACCAGGAAAGGACATTTCTGATGCCTCCAGCTATAGACCGATCAGTCTTACCAGCTGCCTCTGTAAAACAATGGAACGTATTGTCAACCTTAGACTCCAATGGTACTTGGAAAGTGAAAACATTTTCACGCCGCAGCAGGCAGGATTTAGACAGTGCTACTCCACAGAAGACCAGACAACTTACCTTTCACAAGAAATTGAGGATGCCTTCCAGGAAAAGAAGCTAGTGCTAACGGCATGGATAGATCTGAAGAAAGCCTTTGACAAGGTCTGGAAAGAAGGTCTACTGAAGAAACTGAGAGACTGCGGGGTGAATGGGAGTATGTACAAATGGGTGAAAGCATATTTGTATAACAGAAGATCCCGAGTACAGATAGATGGACTTAAGAGTAAGAAAGTTTTGCTGCGCCATGGCGTCCCACAAGGAGGTGTCCTGTCCCCCACACTCTTCCTAGTCTATATCAACGACCTGCTTTCTGAACTACCCCATGGAATTAAAGCTGCAATGTATGCTGATGACTTGGTACTCTGGTGTACACAAATGAAAATGCGACAGTGGCCACCAGACTGCTACAAAGAGCCATAGATGCAATGGCTGATTGGGCCGACAAATGGTGTGTCAGCATCAATATAGGCAAATGCAGCACCACCCTCTTTACCCTTTCTCCTAAACAAAAATCAGGTGTCATGCACATAAATGGAGTACACCTGAGAGAGGATAAGGAGCCCACATACCTCGGCGTAACGTTTGATGATAGATTAACATGGAGAAAACACATCAACAAGGCAGCAACCAAAGCCAGAAGGAGGGTAGCCATTCTGAGAAAACTAAGTGGAACCACATGGGGTGCTAGCGGGAAAATACTTAGGAAAGTTTACCAACAAAGTGTTCGACCACATCTTGAATGCGGATCAACAGCATGGAGTTCGGCATCAAAAACCACATTGCAAGAATTAGATAAAGTGCAAAATCAAGCACTCAGAGTTACCACAGGCAGTATGAAATCAACACCTATAGCTGTGATGGAGAAAATGGGGATGACCCAAGCACTGAGTGAACGCAGAGACACCAAGATGCTTTTACAAGCAGAAAAGTTTCTTAGTATGCCCAGTCACCCTATGAATGAAAGATTCAAAAATTTAGCTTTGGGACGACTAAAGAGAAGTAGTTTTATCCACCAGGCCAAACGGCTCGGCAGACAAACCACTGATTTACCTGCAACTGATAGATCCTTAAATGCTGTCCCAGAATGGACCCCCTGGAGAGAGGAGTTTAAGTTTCCAATACACATCAAGACTGAAGTGAAAGGGGTATTTGACAAGGAAGAACAAAACAGTGTGCAGCGCAAAACAGCCACCCTCAGTCTACTTGATGATGAATACCCGAAGAACCTTTGGGTCCGTGTTTACACAGATGGGTCAGCAGAAAGCGCAGTCAGAAACGGAGGTGCAGGAGTGTACATTGAGTATCCTAATAATACCAGGGATACAGCCAAATTACCAACGGGAAAGCACTGTCACAACTATGATGCAGAAGTTCAAACCATCAAGATAGCGGTAGAGAAACTACTAAATATAGGGTATTTTTCACAACCAGTGGTATTCCTGACAGATGCAAAAGCAGTACTTCAGTCACTCCAGTATGGAAAATTACCAAGCATACAGACACTATTATCCGAACTAGGCAACCACTGTAAATTAGTAATGCAGTGGATACCTTCCCACTGTGGAGTTCCCGGAAACGAAAAAGCTGATAAACTAGCTAAGGAAGGTGCAACTGAAGAACAACCTGACATACCAGTCTCTTATCAACAGAAGAAGAGAATGATCAAATCAATCAGAATGCTACCGAAACTGGCACAAGATGATTACCATATTATGGACAGACCAGAGCAAGTCATTATCCTTCGCCTTAGAACAGGGCACAATCGACTTCGCTCCCACATGTACAACGAATTTAAGATTGGCCAATCAGCCATGTGTACTTGTGGACTGGCACCTGAAACAACAGATCACATCCTTCAAGACTGTCCCAGATTCAACGCTTTCAGGCAAAACCTTTGGCCAAAAGAGACACTTGTGGAAGTCA